GGCCGAAAGAGCCCACAGCTGGTGCCAACAACATGGGGGCAGCCCCAGAGCCCACTGGTTGCCCCAAGGCCTGAGGCAGGTGATTCTCATGCCCTGGTGGTGCCAAGGCTCACCTGGGCCCAGGTAGCTTAGTCTCATGGCCATGAAGCCACTTCCCCAACTGCAGTTATTCACCCCCGCCCCCTCACCCACCAATTAATCAGTGCTGGGGTCTCCAGCCAATGGCCCAGGGGCTAGGTCTGGCTTACAGGTGGGCTTCGCTTGGCCCCACAGTATTCTGTGTTTAAGAAATGTTGACTTCTAACGCATCCACCCCTGCAGGCTCCGTTCCCTGGCCGCAGTTGCCACCCCTCCCTGTTGTCTTGAATCTGTCAGCTCACACATTTATCTTAACTGCCTGGCCCTGAAGGCATCTTTATTTATTTAAAAAAATTTTTTTGCTTTTCCAAAATATTTTACCTCCTTTTTATTTTTAAATTTTTTACTTATTATTTAAAAAAATAGGGGGTACAAATTGAATTCCGTTACACGTGTGTGTTATATAGCGGTGGAGCCTGGTGCACCCCCACCCGAGTAGCGCAGGTTGTACCCCACAGGCAATTCTCAGCCCCCAGCCCCGTGCCCATCATAACTCCTGCGTGACCCCTGAAGGCAGCCGAGTTTGGAAGCTCTGATCTAGCTCAGCTCTCTGTTTTGCGAATGGGGGGTTGTGGGGCAGGGGCTCCGGGGCTCACGCGTCTTAGGTTATCTGAGGTTGCGAAGACGCGCTGCGAGACTCCAAGGTCTCGTTTTCAGATCTCTGTGCAATATTCATTTCTTCACCTAGGACTTCTCTGATCACCCCACTCAAAGCAGCACCCCGATCCACTCTTTCCCTGGGGCTTTCTTGGTCCTTGTCATTTCAGACATCACCGTCACCACCCTGTCGTTTTTACTGTCTCTCTGGTTGTAGCCCCACAAGGGCAGGAGCGTGGCTTGTCTTGAGCCACTCTGTGTCCCGCGGGCCAGAATAGCGTCTGGCATGGGAAGGTGTGCTCACCAAAAAAGTTGTATGAGAAGGAAGAAAAGAGGACCCTCGGACATTGGTGGCCCCAAGCAACAGGCCACCCTGTCTGTTGCCCAATGGTTTCCTGGGTTGTTCCAGAGACGCCCGCTTGCCTTAGAGCCCCCACAGTCACGGGGCAGCCGGCGCCTCTGCCCCTGCGCGGGCGGCTGGCGTTTCAAGAGCGCTACGGGCAGGCCCGTGCCTTCTCCTGCAGAAGCGCAGGGCGGTGATGTCCAGAGCGCTTCTTTCCCCACCCTCTGCCCCCCAGCTGACCCATTCTGCCTGAAACCAAGTTTCAACAGACGCACAGCTCAGCCGTGGCCAGGATGCTGCAACCTTTTGTGTTGTGGCGGGCAGCGGCCCAGCCAAGGTCACGTGTACTTAAAGAATTCTGTTGAGCTGGGGAAGAGAGGGAGAGCCAGGGCGTGGAGAGCAAGAGGCGTGGCAGGGAAGCGAGAAGAGGAAATGCTGGCTTATTTTCCTCAAAGTGCAGGGCTAAGCAGGGCAGGCTTCTTTTTTTTCTAAATTAGTTAAAGGAATATTTGTTGTTGTCATGTTTGTCATGATGACATGGATTGGAACAATCAGGAAAAGCATGGCAGCGAAGGCTAGATAGAAGCCTGACCTTAGCTCCAGGGTATGCATCAACCAGTAGCGCCTCCAGAGTCGAACGCTGGGGCCCACATCCTAAACCCGAGCCGAGTCCAGACACAACCGTTGGGCAGCGGTCCCTGACGTTTCTCGGTGTCTCAAGCCTGACTGGTCTTGCTGAAACAGCAGACGGTGCTGATCCTCCTTCTCCCCTCCTCCTCCCCTGCCCACCTCTGCTCTCCCCCACCCTGCCTCCCTTCCTCTTTCCTCCAGCTCGCAGAACATTCTTTTAAGGCCTGTGAACCTGCCTGGGCCCTGCCCCTGCCCACAACCGCCAAAACAGGACTAAATCCTGCCCGAACACAATGCTGGTGGTCTGTTTGAACTTGGATTCAGGCTTGATGGCATCTGCCGTCCAGTGATTAACTGTAAGTAAAGTGGAAATATTAACCGCAGGTGTGTAAGAACAAAGCTGCCTGGCACACGGCCTGCAGCGGCTGTCGCTACGCTGTTTGGCTAGCTTCAATCGTCTTCAGTGTCTGCCGACCATCAGCTCTTTATGCAGACCAACCCTGCCTGACCTTCCTTTCCTCTCTCTTGTCCATCAGTTCAGTTCCACCCCCCTCCTTACCCATTCACCAGCCCACCCAAATCACCTGCTAACCCATCCATCTACCCACATCCAACCCAACAATCACCCATCTAACCCATCCACCTACCCAGCTTACCCATTCACCCCACCCCACCCATCCTCCAATTCCACGCCACCCACCCACCCATCCCCATCCACGCCACCACCCCACCCTTCCTCCCACCATCACCACCTTCCTCCCATCTACCCTCCATCTACCCACCCATCAAACCCACCCATTCCTCCTCGGTAGCCATCCATCACCCACCCATCCTCCCACCATCCTTCCAATCTAACCATCATCTACCCACCCATCACCCACCATTCCTCCATTCCTCACCATCATCACGCGCTACCATCGCGCCACCACAATCCTCCCATCTACCCATCCATCTACTCACTTTCACACACATCTCGCAATCTTAAGTCTCTATCCATGCCAGCCCAACCATCAGCCCCAACCCATCCTTCCCACCCATTCCCTTCCACCCATCCACCCACCTCCTCGCCCACCTCTAGCAGCCAACCATCACCATTCAACCCATCTTCCACCAACCTATTCCGCAATCTACCCATCCATTCACGCGCCATCCACCATTACCATCCATCTACTCACCCTCCACCAACCCATCCCACCCATTAGCCCCAGCCAACCAATCTCCCAGCCCATTCACCCAATCCATCACCGCGAGCACATCTACCCACCGCAACCGATCCATCCATCCAGTCCCAACCCATCCAACCCATCCAATCACGCCCAATCATCCAGCCTCCATCATTATTGTCTCTAATGCGCGAACATGCCAATACTTGTCAGGAAAGCTGCCTTTACATACTGCCACAATTTACAATTCGCGTATGCAAACGCAGGATGGCTCTTTGGTCAATACAATTGTTTTAACAAACATAAAGCCTCCGGTGGCTGGGTAGTTGGGGTTTGCGGGTGGACGGTGCATGGCAGAGACCGTCTGCTGAAGTGCTGGTTTTGCTGGGTTCTGCCTTATCGCGGGCGATAAACCCAGCGCTGTGCCTCGATGCCTTTAGGTGCTGATGACACTTTGAGATCGCCTCAACATTTGGCAATCAACGTGTGTTTGGCAATAGAAAGATCATTCGGAAAGAATCTTCAAAAACTCAAAAGCTAATCCAAGTAGACTGTTTCATGTCATTCTTTATATCTACTGAGCCTCCCTAAAAAACCAGGCTCGCGGGGCATTCGCCTGCGAGCCAGGGCACTGTGTGTCCCTCGCAGCGTTTTCTTCAGATCGGGAGCGTTCCGGGCGAAGTTTTCTCCTTCCTGCGTCTCTCCCTGCGCATGCCCACCCCGACCTGTGGGTGGGGGAGTTCTGGTCGCGTGTCTTTGCTGCGCCAAACTCCCATGATAACCCCACGGCAATGAGGGACCCCTGGATGGCCTGAGCGAAACGGGCGCTGGCTCTGCTGACCAGTTCCAGGAGGGCAAGCCCTTCTCGTCAACCCGCAGCCCAAAGTGTGGAGGGAATTGAATGTCACCTGTCATTCACCATCTCCACTCAAAGGTCTACTACACGCCTCACGTTTAATTACGTGCTGCACCACTGACGCCCCCGCCACCCGGCTCAAACTCGCCCACGCCAGCCTCCCCCCTCTCTGGCGACAGCTCCGTCCTTCTAGCTGCTCCGGCCACAAACACTGCGGCCATCCCTGGCCTCTCCCACGCCCACATCCCTTTCAGCCCTGTCTTCAAGACACGTTCAGAATCCAGCCATTTCTCACCACTGTCACCGTTACCCGGGGCCCAGCCGCCACCAGCTCCTGCCTGGGTGACGGGGAGCGCCTCACTGTGCCGTCTCGCGCGATGCACATTCTGCTCACTTAGCGTTGCCTGTGGCCTGTCTGCCCCGAAATACGAATATTGTCAGAGCGGGGATCGTGGTCTGTCCTGTTCATAGTCGCGTCCCTGTCACCTAAAGGGGTGCCTAACACACAGACGGTGCCTAACAGACACTTGTCACAGGAGCACATGAGATTTTACAAGCACGCTCGGGACAGGTTGGAGCGGGAACGCAGGCCTGAGCTGAGTGGAGCCGGTGCTCCCGGCCAGTGCTCTGAGCTCCCGGTCTCGTGCCCTCCTCTCTGGCTGGCCGCGGAGGCTCACCCAGGGCGGCTCTGCCATCTCGAGTCTGGGCACAAGGGCAGCAACCCACTTGGGGGAGTACGGTGTGGTGTGGCGCGGCCGGTGGACCCGTGTGCCAGTGACGGCTCTCCACTTGCTAGCACGGTTCTCGTGCCCTCTGCAGAGCGAGGTGCAAGTCATCGCTGTGGGCATTTCTCGAAGTGGACACTGAGTTCCAGGCGCTAAACCTCCTGCACGTGGCTCACGTCACCCCCACATCAACCCAGTGGGACCAGGTGCTGCTGTTACACCGGGGAAACTGAGCCACAGAGAGATTAAACAATTCTAGAATGATCTTAGGAGGTGACAGGCAGGGCTGGCATGTAGTCAGCCCTCACGAACGCCGACGTCATTACAGCTGGGCTTCAGGCAGCCGGCGTCTGAGAGGGGAGGGCAGGGCCTCTGAGGGGTCTCTGGAGGCTCCACCCGGTGCCCAGCCGAAGCCCTCCTTCCCCACCCTCCGAGAGGCCCTGGGTGCCTCCTCCCCAGACCTCCTGGATTGACAGCCTTGAATGAGCAGGGCGGCACAGAGCCAGGAGGTGGGGACCCGGCTCAGGCAGGCTAATCAGGTCACGGGGTGAAATTAAAAGGGAGGAGGAGGGCAGCAGCCCGTCAGAACCCACACTCCTTCCTGGCGACCAGATGCCCAGGAGAGGAGCTGGGGAGCCGGGGGACAGGATGGCCCCGCAGAGAGCTGTGCAGCTGTCCCTGAAGACGCCCACCCACGCCGTGTGTGTGGTGGGAGTCGAGATGCTGGTGGACGTGCACAGGTGAGCGGCGGGCGGCGCCTGCCTGGCTGCAGAGAACCGGGCTGGCACGGACGGCCGAGGCAGTGGGGAGGGAGCCCAGTGGGCCAGTCGGGCATGCCCGCGGTGCTGGCGGGAGCTTGTTTTGACAGCAGAGAAGGTGGAATTGGCTGCAGATCCTGGCAGGGAGGGACCAGGGGCTGCTCAGGTGCTCCCTGGGTGTCTGGCTCCCGGGCACCAGGGCCAGGACATTGGCCTCAAGGCCCTGGATAGGCCTCAGGGTTGTGACTCTGAGCCCTTTGGGGTCTGGGCTCTGCTTGGGAAGCATCAGAACGAATTGTCACTCAAGACAGGGAAGCATTTAAAAAAAACAAAAAGTGTTACGGCTCTTTTAGAATCTGTCTAGCAGGCTCCCCCCTCCCTCGATTTCTTAGCCCCCACCGGGTGTCTGTGAGGTGGAGGATGAGTGTGGCAGCTCGGAGGTGGCTGGCGCGGCCGGGAAGGCTGGGTTCAGGCGGGAGTGGTGAGGGCACAGCACCGTGAGTAATGGGAGGAGGGAATCGGAGCAAGACCTGGGATGTGTGTTTGCCACGGGATGGCGGTGATGACAGTGATGATGGTGGTGATGGTGGCGATGGTGGCGATAGGAAGGTGATGCTGGCAATAATGGCATCCAAGGGGGCAGCGGTCACATCAGCTTCTGCTGTTGGCCCAAATCCTCCCTGTCCTGGCTCTGCCCACATGGGGGCCCCGGCACCTGGCCCGGCCTCAGTGTCCACAGTTGGCCACTGAAGGAGGTGGACTTGGTGATCTCTGGGACATTTCCAACTCTGACAGGCTGTGGACTCCACACTTGCTGGCCTAGTGGGGCTCAGGGTTGGAGTCCCCCTCAAAGAGGAGCTGGGCTGGCTAATGACGCCAGGCCCGGCTGCCCACCTAGCCTCAGGTGATCCTCTGCCCCGAAGTCCTCTCTGCTCCTCTCCTGGGCGGGGTCCTGGGGCCCCAGTGCCTGGGCCGGGGAGGACAGCCAGGAGCCCTGGAGGCTAGGCCTGGACTCTGCTGGGAGCCCCGGCACGGGGGCTGGTTCTCCTGAGTCTAGGTGGCCAGTGGAGACCCCATTTTTTCCTGCCCTGTTAACAAAGGGTTGCCAGGTTTAACAAATAAAAATACAGGATGCCCTGTTAAGTTCAAATTTCACATAAAAAATAAATAACTTTTTTAGTATATTGCATAGGACATTCTTACACTCTAGAATCTGTTGTTCGGCTGGCACTCAAGTCCAGCCAGGCAGCCTGTGTTTTATCTGGCCGTCCTACCTTCACGCTGAGAGCAGAGAAGGGGTCCCTGGTGGGCCTCACCTTTCCCGATTCCAGGCTGTTTCTGGGAGGTAATCTGGGGCTCTGTGTGGCGCTGCTAACGCCAGGACCTCTCATGGGGAGCCCAGAGTCCTGGGTTCGGGTCCCAGCTCTGCTGCAGGCTCTTGCTGCCCGACATGGGCCAAGCCACTCGTCCCCGTCTGAGCCCCAGTGAGATGAGCTGAGTCCCCTCTGCAGTTGGGCATGGAGGTTAAGCGCCCGGACCCCGCAGTTGAACAGACCTGGGTTCTCATCCAGGCTCAGTTGGTGGCTGTGTGGGCCTGGGCAAACTGCTACACTTCCCTGAGCCTCAGTTTCTTTGTCTGAGAAATGGGGAAACAATAGCACTGACCTTAATGGGTTTGGGGGAAGATAAAGGAGACCAAGCGTGTGCAGGGCGGGCTTGCCTGCACGGTGGGTGCCCTGGGGGTGCCCGTGGCTCACGGGCGCCCCTTTTTCCAGCATCTGTTCTTCCCGTCGCACCTGAGAGCGAGGAGGAGACGAGCACAGCTGAGGGTGCGTGTGGCGGGAGCACAGGACGGTGTGTCCGGGAGGGTCCTCTGGGAACTCCAGGCACCTCGGCGTCCTCAAACACAGGCCCTGGCCCGGCTGAGGGGCGACAGGAAGCTGCCTGGGTGGTTCCTGGCTGCTGTCCCCTGTTTGGCCCTGGGGGACGACGCTGCCTCAGGGTCCTGAACGGAACACACGGGAGGCCTCCGCCCACCGGCCCTGCATGAACCTCCACCCCGGACACTGGCGGGGGCTGGGGTCTTAGCTACTGAGCGTCTCTAAACCAGAACACGGACGTTTATTGGGCAGCAACAAGGCAGAGCTCCCTGCCAGCCGGGGCTGCGGCAGGTGGAGAAAGGCGGGCAGGGGAGCGTCGGCCTGCGGAGGTTTTTGAGAGGAGCCTGACGCTCACGCCAGGCCCGGGCTGGCCCCGAGGAAGGGGCTGCCCTGGGTGATGAATGATGAACTTGGGACCTCCGCCCCCCATTTGCCCCGTGCCTGGCTCCCGCTGAAGCCAAGCAAGGGGTTTCTAACTGGGCTCGCTGGCGGGAGGGGACGCCTCCTGGGAGGGGGTGTGCCGGTCACCTGAGCTGCTCCGAGTCTGAGGCCCCCAGGAGATGGGCGTGTAGGGGCAACACCACCGGAAGTGATTAATTCCCCCAGGGGCTGTGTGGACTGGTTATTTGGAGAAATATTTGTGTTTGGGGTAATCGTGTGCCCCGGGGTGTCCCAGCCTGAGGAACCCTTAGGAATCCCGACTCAGCATGTGCCTGGGACCCCCCACCCGCACCCCAGCAAGCTGGCTCGCCACCCCGCCCCTGTGCCCCAGTGCCCCAGTGGGCCGGCTCCCCACCCACACTCCTGGCTCTGGCCAGACTGCCCTGGCCGTCCCCGTCCTTGCCTGGGGGCTGGAAGTGGCTCACGCCAATAAAGCATGGGCAGCGCAGGGAATGCGTGAGTGGGTCCAGTGAGGCCCTCCGTGTCTGCCCAGGGGCCAGGATCCGAGCCCCAGGCTGGAGGCCATAATGAATGTTTATCATCTGGCATGAAGAAGGCTGGCTGGGCAGGGGACAGGGACATTCTCCTGGACTTCTCCCAGGCCTTCCCCACCCCTGCCAAAGCATCAGTGCAAAACAGACTCTTCAGATGAGGGCGCAGTCGAGTCCGAGGGGTACAGGGGAGGGTGCTGTAGGGCCTCTCAGATGCATTTTCTGGGGTTCCCTGTATTTCAGAAAATGAAAACACCAAGACGGAGCTGTAAACTGTGTGGCATACTTAGTGTGCACATCGAGTAAATTAATGCCTTTAACTGGCGTAGAACAATGAAGCATAATTGTGCTCTTCATGGGATAATTACAGGATTGGTGCCGACACTAATTTCTAGCGACCGACAGGCTGCCGGCGCTGGGCTGGGACGCCTCTGTCCTCGCTCCATCCTGTCGCTGTGTCACCGACACAGGAGGGACGCCCTTCGTGAGAAGGGGTGTTAAAAGTTCAAGTGTCCGTGTTCCTGGGGAACGTGAGGCCGGCCGGGTCATCCATAGGGGCTCGCAGAATCTGCACCTGGCTCGGCAGCTCGGGCATTCCTGAACGTGAAGTGCTGGCGTCGGCAAGGGCCTCGGACGCCAGCCAGCCCCGGTCTACAGCCCTCCCGCCCCCCTGGGCCCTGCTGCCCTGCCATGTGGGACCCCCTCAGGCGCCCCACCTCCTGCGCTGCCCTTCCTGTCCTTGCCGTGCTCTTTTGCCTCAACTCTCCGTACCCTTGACCTTCCTGCGCGCACTCTAGCGTAAGGCCGAGCTTAATTGCTTGATCAGTCTGAGCGGCTGCTGAGAAGCTCAGTTTCTTCATCCGTGCAGTTGAGGACCATGGCAGTGGGCCGAGGCAGCCGCTCTCTAACTCTGGGCTGATGCTCGTGTCTGTCCTCCGGTGGCCTCTTGCCCGGCGGCTCTCAAAAGACAGGTCACTCGCTAACCTCGCCCAGCTCGGCGGTGTTCTAGCAGGGCAAATGGGGCCACGTTCCGTGGGAATGTGGAGCCCTGCCTGCCCGGTGCCGCCCGCCGAGTGGCTGGACCCGGCTGAGTCTCTCAGTGACCTCCTCTCCCCCAGCTGGCGACGTTAGAAGAATTGGGTCTGCTCCAGCAGCTGCAAGTAGGAGCCAACATTGGGGTCGGGGGACCCCAAATTCCCTGCCCTCTTTTTATGTTTTAATCAGGAAACATTGATTGAAAACAAATGACTTTATGAAGCAGAGTCTGAAGGACATAAAGCACAAATTCTGTAGACATCCGTCCCGCAGATAAGACCTTGGGATCAGCCAGCCCAACGTAAGGATGCCGTGGACCACGTAGTTAATATTCCACCTTGCCCCATTAGCGCAACACCTCACTGGGGGGTGGGACCGGGGGTATTTCCTCGCACGTGTTCAGGGCCTAGAATGAGCTGGGATTCCTTGCCTCAACTGGTTTCGTTTTACCTTGAGAGCACCATGGATTTTCTCATGACGTTGATATGGTTTTCCATTTCTCCTGGCACTAGGGGGAACTCACACGGCGCCAAATCTGCTAACCGGGATAGGAGGTCTGTACCTGTCTTTTCTTTCTTCCCCACTCTTTGACTTGATTTCTCACTTGAGAAGAAAGAAAAAAAAGAAAAAGACCTGATCCATGGTATATTTTGCAGCTGTCTAAAGTCTTCTTGATTAGTCTGGTGGGTCCGGTGTTAAGTGCGATGATAATAAGTGCTGAGTCTGTCCGTGGAGTGGGTGTCAGAGAGAGAGCGGGGGTGGAGGTGGATAGGAGAGAAGAAAGGGAGAGCAGAAGGCTGCGGCGATGGGCAGAGTTCATGGAGCCCAGGTAACGGATGCAGAGCCCAGTGGGGGCGCAGAGGGCCCAGAGGAATTCTGTATCAGGGCAGGGGTCCGGCACTGGGGAGCGTATCGAGGCATTGGCCTCAGGAGCTTGAATACCGCAAAGACTTCCATTTCATCCAGCAACCAACTATTAAGCCTGGCACTTTCTACATCTTTATTCTGACTTCTTATAATATTATTCCATTTTAGCAGATTAGGAACTTTCTTGGAGTGTTAATCATTTTCCAGAGTCCTGAAGCCTGAGAAACAGCCAGCCCAATCTGGAACCCCAGACAGTAAGGGACCCAAA